TTTAAGGAAAGAGTGCAAGAAAAATCAAATTTTCTTCTCCTCCCTCTTTAAACTCTAGCTTGAAAATTTTCTTTCAAAGCACTCACCACCTTAAAGTCACTCCCTCTTGATGTTTAACTAAGTTAATCACTCTAATTACTCACTTTTATTGGTGAAATCAATAAGAAACTAGGCAGAAAAATCTCACAATTACTCCTCATCTCTTTGTTTCAAACTATATGCCTAGAGAGAAAAAAATGGAGTATTTGTAGTCTAACTTCTATATATCTATACATTGACCCTCGTTACTTCTTATTTTTATTTTTGTTACTCAATTCTTTTTTTTTATACTTAATTTACATCATAACATCTTCTTTTTTATTCTATTGTATCTATTTACAATACTTGAAATCCTTTTATTTAATATATTCAGTATTTTATTTATTTTGTTCAGATTATAATTTATTGGGTTTTCACATCTAAGATATTTATCAAGATCATCACCATCATCATTTAGAATATTATTATTACTACTAGTAGTATTAATACTGATATTATGAATATTAATGTTACTATTATGATTAATACTAATATTGCCAATAGTATTTAAATCAAAACTAAAATTATCTAGATTGATATCATTTTAATTTTTTAAATCATCTTCAATCCCATGACTTTCTATTTCAGCATCATTAGAAATCTCATCATCATCACTTTCATCTTTTTTCCTTTTTTTTTTCTTTTCATGTTACACTATGAATGACACTAAACAAATCAATGTTTGATGAACCATTATATTTTTCTCCATTAATTATCTAATCATTAGTTGAGAGATCATCTAAAATTTCACCAAAATCATTAACTTGTTTTTTGACTTGTTGTCATTCAATTTCAAATTGCACATTACAAATACAATGTCAAGTCTATTACCAATGCTATTTTTTTTATATGCCATGTAAAAAATCAATTCAAATCAACCTTAAAATCAATCATAATAACTTATTTTACTAGTCATCAATTTAAACAATCATCTCATAATTATTAATATTATAATATAACTACAACTCTAAATGTATATTAATTTTAAAAAATAAATACTAAAAAAATAATTAAAAACTCATAAGTATATAGACTTATTGCATCGTAAATAATATTTTATTATATTATGAATTTGAAATTTATTGCAACCAAGTCCCCCGTATGATGACTTGTGACTTTTGATACAAGTGGGAGCAAATAGAGCACAATTATAAAATAATATCATAATGAATTTGATATACCGAACCAAAAGCAGGCAAGGAAAGTCATTTATTTCAAATTGTGTGTAGGAAATTAAGTAACCAAAAGATAAAAAATGTTAAAAGCCTCGAATCGCATACCACTCGATTCTGGAAAAAAAATAGAATCATCCATTCATTCTTTTTAATTGAATTTATAGGGTAGGCAGAGAGAACTATCCTGGCCAGAAGGACATCTTTTGTTTTTTTTCTTCTTCACTACTTTCTTGCCTAGCTAGTAACACTCTCTAGAACCACTAACCTGGAGGGAGACGTACGATCGTGAAATTAGAATTGGAGGAGCAAATCACACTCAAATGGGAAAGAAGGAGGAGAGTAAGAGACACTAAAACAAGAAGTTCAAGAAACATTAACCTGAATGATGTCAAAAAGAAGTTTAATAGAGAGGAATAACAAGGATTTTGAAATATCGGCTGCTAGTCTAGGTTTAACAGAGAGGAAGGAAAGGATTTTGAAACTATTTATACTAATATTACTGGTCTAGACTCATTTTATCGAGTTTATTAATTTTACACAAATTTTATTAATTTTTTATTTTTTAGCTTGATTTTACAAGTAGCTACAGGACATGTAAAATTATATAATTTTACTAATCAATTCGTGATTTTGACAACAAATTAACATATGCTATGAGGATGATTGAGTTGTCTCTTGTCTGCTACCATAACAGATACCATTCCTGCTGCTCATACTTGTGT